GAGCCAAGGAAGGGGGGTGGCCAGGGACCAGTGAAGGACATTTGGGACAGACTAGGCTCTGGGCACAGTGAGGTACTGATGGGCTGCAGCCAGGAACATGGATCAGCAATAGGCAGGCCCTGAAGGGGGACTGAGTATAACCTAAGTCACGGGCCCTGCTGACCTAACCCTGAGAACATCTGGCAATCAGATCTTTACACTGAGTGTCTTCTCCTGCCTGAGTTGGAGCTAGGTGGCTGACACTCAGCTGCAGCCTGAGAGGCTAGGCCTCCAGTCTCCCTCCAGGAATCTGGGCCAGAGTGCAAGGGGAGGTCTGGTAATAGGTGAGGAGCCTGCATATGTTGCAGTGGTGTGGGCAGGGGAACAGCCCATGCAGAAGCAAGCATGGAGCATGGGCCAAGTGACAGGCAGTTTGCCATGGAAGTGCAGGTTCCAGATAGACAGCTGGAGACAGGTCTGGAAAAAGAGGCAGACACAGGATGAAGTCACCGAGGGCCTGGAGTGCCAGGCCAGAGTTTGAACTGTATCCTGTGGGCAGGGTCAGCCAATAAAGGTTTGCAACAGGGCAGAGTATCATCAGAAAGCCCCCTCTGGCTACGGTGTGGAGCATGGAGTAGAGGGGAGAGACTAGAGGTAGGAAGATCGTCAACTTCTTTAATCGTCAGGATCACCCTAGGAGCTAGGTAGGCATGAATATCTGAATTGGTAAGATGAGAAAACTAAGGGCTCAAAGAAGCAGGGTGGGTTGCCTGAAACCCCTTGCTATACTCTGGCAGCACTGGGATCACACCTGGCTCAGCCTGTTTGCAAAGCACGTGCTCTCATCTGCCCCGCTAACAAGGAGGCAGGCCAGGCAATCAGCCGAGAATGTGCATGCGCACATGATCTGAGTGCTCCTGCCCGCCCAACTGGCCTGCTGCCGGTTCCCTGCCCTGAGACAGGGTGAGGGGTGCGGCTGTCCCCCTAGCCTCACCCACACCCTCACCGGGCCTGACTGGTTCTAGCTGGAGTCACTGGTGAGGGCTGCCCGGACACCAGCTCCGTAAACACTGATCTGAGGCTGAGGGCGCCATGCCAAGACTGCCCGCTCGACAGGCAGTTTCCCAGCCCAGTGGCCACAGATGGGAGATTAGATGGACCCTCAGCCGCCTGGCAGGCAGGAACTGTAGGCAGCTGGTACAGCAGCCATGGACTAGCAGGCTCCAGGGGACAGGGTGGGGATGGGGAGGCAACCTTGGTACCTGAGCCTTTGAGGTCTTGCCAGTTTCTTCAACTGCCCTAACTTCCAGAAGAGTCTGAGCCCGTCCCATCATCTCCTCTGAGCCTAGGGTCAGCCTTTCCAGGGATTGGTATAGCTCAGTGAAGGCTGGTGGCTTCCCCACAGATTGGAACTGCAGGCCCCACTGGGGCAGGCCTCGAGATTTGGGCAGGCCATGGGGAACTTGGCCTGGCCATGGGGAAGAAAGTGGCTGGGGACAGTCCTAGAGGGACTGAATTACCAGTGAGCCATGGTAGGCTTGGCAGCTGTTTCTACCACCCAAGCCCTCTGATTCCTGGGGATGTATTATGCTGGGGTCCACTCTCCCCTTCCAGGCTTCTTCCTCTCTGACCTGTTCTAGACTTTTGTTTCCTGTGACCTCAGTGGTCACCACAGGCCTTCTGAGCACAGCTTGCCCAGTGCTGCTGGCCAGGCTATGCCTGTGCTCATGGACTCCTGGGTTTCATCTCACCTCCTCCCTTGGGGGAGCAAAGCCTGTGGCCCAAGTCAGCTTGTGGTGGGTAGAAAGGTCTCTGAACCTTGGCGATCAGACCTTGGTGCTGAAAGCTTTCCAGGCCTCCTGGCCCTCAGCCCCAACTCTGAAGAATAATCTCTAGCCTGTGGAGCCAGAGTCCCTGTGACCATGCCACCAGAAGGGACTCAGGAGGATCTGAGTGAAGGGAGTTCCCCAGAGGGGCCACAAGACCATCCCCCCCTCTCTTGACACAGAGAGGTTTGGGGAAGGAAGCCTGTGCCTAGCCACTTTTATGAGTGAGTGCTGGGAGGAAACGAGGGACTGGGCTGACCTGTCTTTTCCTCATGCCCAGAAGATCCAGTTTGCCTGGGCAGGAAGTGCTCGTTCCCACCACAGCCCATGTGTCCAGCCATTGCACTGCAGGGCTGACGTCTGTGCAGGCAATAACCATTCCTCAGCAGGAACTGAGCTGACATTTGCTTCCTGCTTCATGATGCCTGGGAGCTGCTTGGGGGATGGAAGGAGTTCCGTGAGGTGGGGTGCCAAGAGGGGCCAGGGCACCCAGTCCAGGCCACTTCCATGAACTCTCAGGAGTAACCTTCCTTCACTAGCCCATCAACATGTAGTTTTCTGAGGCTGAGGAGGGGAGGTTTGGGGGAAAGGCAGGCAGAGCAGCTGGGGGCAGACAGACCCCCTCTCTGAGCCTGGTCCTCTGCGGGATGAGGACATAAGGGTACGTAGGGGGCACTGCACCATGAAGCCGTCAGTAGGTCAGAAATTGCTCTATTGCTCCTGGGTGCAGTGAGGCAGCCGGCCAACTGATTAATAGTTGGAATTTGCAGATGTTTCCGAGGTTCTGACATGGGGGGCTGCCCTGGCCAATTGATGGGTGTGATGTATGGACTCACCATGCAAGGGACTGGGGAGGGAAAGAGGCAACTGTGAGGAGAAGGCTTGGCAAGTCCCCCAGCTCCCTGCCTGAGTTGAGCGAGCCCCATGCTCTGCGCAGGCCTACCTGGAGTCCTTCTACAAGTTCTGCACCCTACTGGGCGGGACCACAGCCGATGCCATGTGTCCCATCCTGGAGGTGAGTGCTTGCCCACCTTCCTGCCCACTAGTCCCTGGTAGCCTGGGCCTGGGGGAAGCTCCGCCAGCTGACTGGCTGCTGCCTCCTTCCCCCTCCCTCTCGCCTTGCCTGTGTACTGGCCTCACAGTTTGAAGCCGACCGACGAGCCTTCATCATCACCATCAACTCCTTCGGCACAGAGCTCTCCAAGGAGGACCGTGCCAAGCTCTTTCCACACTGCGGGAGACTTTACCCAGAGGGTCTCGCCCAGCTGGCTCGGGCTGATGACTATGAGCAGGTCAAGAACGTGGCCGACTACTACCCGGTGAGTGCCCTGGCCACGGGATGATGGGCGGGCATACTGGCATCTGCATCCCCACCCCACACCCAACAGTGCCCTTGTGCTCATGCTTCCCATCCCTTTTCTGGGCCAGGAGTATAAGCTGCTCTTTGAGGGTGCAGGCAGCAACCCCGGAGACAAGACCCTGGAAGACCGATTCTTCGAGCATGAGGTGAGGGGTTGCTCACCTGCGTGTCATAGGGAGGGGTTGGTGGCCCAGGCCTGACTCTGCCATCACGGCCACCTGCACACCACGCCTGCCTCTGTCTATAGGTGAAACTGAACAAGTTGGCCTTCCTGAACCAGTTCCACTTTGGTGTTTTCTACGCCTTTGTGAAGCTCAAGGAGCAAGAATGTCGCAACATCGTATGGATTGCCGAGTGCATTGCCCAGCGCCACCGCGCCAAGATTGACAACTACATCCCCATCTTCTAGCGCCCTGGCCCAAGGCTCCCCACAAGTGTGTGTGTCTGCGTGTGCTGTGACCAAGCCCACAGCTCACATGCCTGCCCTGGGGGATAGCACATTGTCCTAGTGGCTGCCGGTATTCCTGACCCTCCCTGGGATGGTTCTTGGGCCTGAAAAGGGGCTGGGCACCTGTTCCCCCTACCAAGGTTGGACCAACTCCCCCCCCCCAAAAAAAGGAGGCCCCCTCAGCCCTATGTTTACAGCCACTGACACGCCTGAGAAGCATGTGGTCACTTTGTGTGCTTCCCTGAGAACCCCTGGGGCAGCGTGAGCCTCCTCTCCCTTCTGTGGGTCACCCGCAGAGCCATGGCCCAGGGGAAGGATAGAGTGTGTCCTTGGGGCATAGGGGAAATAGCTCTGCCACCCTGTCCCTCAGCTCTGCCCTCTGAGACAATAAACTGCCCTCTCTAAGCCTGGCTGTCTGTCTCCTTTGGGTGCCATCCTTGTCAAGCCACCCCCACTCCAAGCTTTCTACCTCCTTTGCTGGCCCTCTCTCTGTGCTTTCAGGTTCTGCAGGATGGGGGAAGTCACTGGAGGCTCACACAGGGCTGTGGAACTGGGTGCTGGCCCTAGCGGGCCACAGGTCTCCCTGTTTGCCTCAATGAGCCCCACTGCACCCTAGTCCAAGGGCATTACCCCCATTTCACTAGGCTGAAACCCAAACCTGTGGATAAATGACCTGCCCACAGTCAACAAACAGGAAAAGGTATGAAGCACAGAATCTTTGTCCAGAGCCTTGGCCCATGCTGACCACCAGGGGTTCCCCAGGCAGTTCCCAATCTGTCACACAGTCACAGACTGGCACTCAGACAGTCACACCCTCCAAACACAGCATCTCCCCCATTCTAGGAGAAATAAAAATGTGTCTTTATTTCAAAGGTGGCAATCAGGCAAGTAGGGTATGGAACCTCCTATGGTAGGGGGGTTTGGGGTGGGTGGTCGGGACCCTAATTCTTGAGCCAGTCAAGAAACAGGATTTACCCTTTGAATCGCAGCACTGAGGCACTGGTGCCTTGAAAAAATCCTGAGGGTGGTCCCCACCCCACCCAGTGACTCCTTAGTTTGCAGAGGCACTGTCTGCGGGATCCTGTCAAAGGCTACAGCTAAGTCTTGCACAAAACTCCCCATCCAGTTGGGTTCTCCAAGCTACAGGGTGGAGCCTTGTGCCCAGGAGGGTCTGTGTGGGCTCATGAAGCAGAAGAAAGGCCTGGAGGTTCACTGGGAAGCCTCAGCTTCACCAGGCCTGGCCTGGGGCAATAACTGAGTGGGTAGGGCTGGGGTCCTTTAGGCCAGGCTCTAGGGCAGACTTGGGGGAGTCACAATGGCCCAGGGGAGGGCCAAGGGCTCATGGGACCTTGTCTGCTAGAGCAGCTAGGCCATCTGTGTGCACTGCTCATTGGGCTGTCATGGGGGAAGAGCCTGGGTTTGGGTCTGGGTCCAGGGCTGCATCCTGGGCTGGGGTAGAGCCAGGCTGGCCAGGCCGCAGTGCTCTTGGCAGACAGTGATTGATGAAGAAGGTCTGCAGGAAGCGGCGCCGCAGGCCCTCAGGCAGGTAGTAGTGGATGAAGTACATGAGCCCCAGGCCACGGCCTGGGTAATAGCGGCGGCGTGGCTGAGCTGCCAGCAGTGCGTCGGTGATGGCATCTACAACTGGGCTGAGGTCTGGCAGCGCCAGGCGCAGCGAATGCAGGAACTGCCCATGTAAGTGCTCGATGTAGTCCTCACCGTAGGCCTGGAGCAGCTCTCGGGGCAGGCTGGCCAGCAGCAGCTGTTTACGCTGCTCCCACTGGCCCACATTCTGCACAGACTCTGAGGAAGGAGCCACAAGGTCAGGGTAGGTTCACTTAGGGAAGCCAAAGCCAGACTCAGGTCAGTCTACCTCAAAACCGATCCTTGCCTCCAGACAGAGCCAGGCCCATTCCTTAGACCTGACTCCACCCCAGATATGAACACACCCACACACCGTATCCCAAACTCGATGCCCACCTGTCTTGAAGCAGCCAGGCTGGATGATGCTGACCTTGACCCCCCAGGGCAGAAGTTCACAGCTGAATGTGTCCATGAGCAGTGCCATGGCTGCTTTGGAGGTCCCATAGGCCGCCAAGCATGGGTATGGCATGTCTCCTGGGGATGGATTGGGAGGGAGGCAGCTCAGCATGGACCAGGGGCTCCAGCAACCCTCCCTGCTCTGCAGCAGCACCTTTTCTACTCCAGTAGGGAAGGGCACTCACCTGCTGGGCTGCCCACAGTCACGATGCGACCCCTAGAACGCCGCAGCAGTGGCAACAGGCCCTTGGTTAGTTCAAGCGCACCGAAGAAATTCACCTCCATGCAGCTGCGGAATGTGGCCACTGGAGACAGCTCCACATCAGCCACTACATTGTTGTGGCCTGCATTGTTGACCAGGCCCCACAAGCCTGAGGGCACGGAGAAGGGGGACAAAGAAAGGAAGCTCAGAGTTGAGTCTGCCCAGCATCAAACCTCTGCCCATTCACACCCACCCAAGCACACCCTCTCCTGGGGGATCTAGGCCCACTGACCTGTGCTGGTGGTGTGGGCCTTTGTGAACTCCAGTGCTCGGCTGATGTCTGCTGGCTTGGTCAGGTCCAGCTGCAGCAGCCTTAGGCGAGGGGAACAGCAGGCACGCAGCTCTAGGGCACCAGGGCCATCCAACTCCAACACGGTGGCCAGCACCGTGAAGCCCATAGCGTCTAGCTTCTTTGCCGTCTCCTTGCCAAAACCAGAGTCACAGCCTGGCCAGGGCAGGGCAGCCAGTGAACTCCCACTGTGGCCCAGTCCAGCCTGAGACAACTCTAGGATCATCAGGGTCCATACAGGATCCAAGCCTCTGGATACCCAGTCTTCAGCAGCCTTCCCTCCCATCTCTACAGGTCTATCTCTGTAGGCTTTGCCCCTCTGGCTGAGCACTAGCTCTCTTACAGCTGTCACCTCCCTGACTCCCCAGAGCTACACCAAACATGGCTTAATGATTCCCACTTTACAGATGAGGACACTGAGACCTATGAATGCTAAGTTGCTTCCCAAAGCCATTCAGCCAGCAGAGAGTAAGATCAGGACTCTACTGGAGGTCAGCCCGAGACCCAGTACCAGTCCTGGTGTCCTGCCTGCTTTGCTATCAGGTCTAAGCTTGCCTGTGCAGTATTACTGCTCAGCCTCGCTGCCCTTGCCCGGGCTTCTTCCTCTTACCTGGACTAGGCAGCAGCCCCCTCTTTGGTCCTGTCCCATCTTGCCCCCTTGAATCCATTCTCTTACCTCAGCAGCCAGAGGGATCTTTCCAAAACTGACAATATCACTCTGCGGCTGAAAGCCTTTCCAAGGCCCCCACAACCCTTGGGATGAAGCCCCAAGCCCTCTGCTCCCATCATCACAACTGAGCCCCACCTCCCTTCCCCACCAGCACCCTACTATTGTTCCAGGCTCTAGGCAAGCTGGAGGCTCATACCTACCTCACCACTGACCCCCACTCTTGGAATTCCAATCAGTGGCAACAGTGGGGCATTCTTTGAGCCCCAGACCACTTGCCCCCAGGACAGGGAAGATGATGGATGGAGAAGAGAACAGACCTGCATTTGAATCTCTTCCCACACCCAACAATTGTGACCTGAGGTCAGTTACCACTCTTGGAGACTTAATTTCCTGTGTTTGGTATGTGGAGAGTGGAACCACCAGGCAGAGCCAGAGTGGGGGTCTGATAAGACCCTGCTTCCTTGATTGTTCCCATCCAGATCCTGGCTCTGAGGGTGGCAAGGGGAGGGGGAGGCCAGTGAGAGGAGGCTCTCTGGAGCCTGCCTCCCTGGTGGTCCCACTCACTTCTGGACAGGCTCTGCAGCGCCCCCCCCACCCCTCAGCCCCCCCCTCCCCCCCTGCTGAGGCAGAGAACAAAGCTGGGACAGGGGCTGTGAACTAGGCTTTGTGTGGCTGGGGGCCTGCAGACTAAGGCAGTCTGGGCTGGGCTGGGCTGGGCTGGGCTGACAAGTCCTTCCAGGGCAAGCCTGGCTGGTGGAGGCCAGTGAGCACATGTGTGTCCACTTGCCTAAGCTCCCTACTCTGGAGGGCCCTTCACTGGGAAACTGAGGCCTCCCAGAGCCTCAGCTCTACAGTCCCAACAGTCACCCATGCCTCGTTCACCCTCTTGTTTATCTGCACACAGACACCTGTACATACACTTCCAAACTGCCTGCATATTCACACAGGGATTCACTCCCAGGAGACCCCCAGCCACCATCCATGAGCAGATGTGCACACATGGCACCCAGCCACTCAGCCCAAACTCTGACTCCACGGTTGAGCTCTGGATGTAGCCTTGGGCTGTGGTTCTCAGGGGTATTCTCAAGGAGGGGTGGGTAGCAGCTCTGGCAGGCTGAAGACACTGTTCTTAGCAGGTGAGGCAGGGCCTAGTCACTTATTTGTCTTGCAGTCAGGTAGTGAGAGAGGAAACCGCAGAGTGTTTGGACATCGGGAAGCTTGCTGGTCTACTCCTGATGCTTAGCAGGAGTGGGTTGGGTAGGACTCTTCCCCTCCCCCATTGCAGGGCTTTACAACCAGATATGGAGGAGCCCAAGCCTCAGAAGGCATCCCTCCTCTTCCCTCACTCTCCAGCTCAAGGCAAGGAGAAGTAACAGCAGCAGCATGAAGGCCTGAGGGGATATCTCAGGAAAGACTGCCCACTGAGTCACTACTACCAGCAGATGGCCCAGATACTGTTGAGGCAACTCACAAATTAGACGGCAGGAGGGGAGCTGCCCAGTCCCTGGGAGCAGAGCTCGCAACCTAGTTCCTGCTTCAGACCAGGAGGGCCACTGTATCTTTCCTTCCTCAATCCCCTAAAACTTTACACTATACTCTGAATTCAGGTTCCACTCATCAAACCTGACCCCTGCTCTAACTCCACCCTCTTGCTGAAACCCAAAGCCCTAGTGCCACCGGTGTTCCCACCCCACCTCAACAGTCAACCTTCTTGCCTGGCATTCAAGGCCCCTTTTGAGGAAACAACCTCACATCACACCACATCTCAGCAGCCAGGCTGGTTACTGACTGTCCCCTACCCAGGCCACTCTCATTGTTGCCTCAAGCCTTTGTCCCACATCCACACTTTGATCCAAAACACCTTCCACACTTCACCTATCTTGACTCATCATCCCAGGCCCAGCTCAAGGATGGCCTCCTCTGAGAAATTCTCCCAGGTCTGTCCTTGTGATCATGCAGGGCCCCCTACTGGACCAAGACCTCTGGGAAGCCACTCTGGTGGTGAGGGCAGGGCTCTGAGAACCTGTCCAAAGCCATGGGGGTTGGGGGGGGAGAGACCAGGCTGCCCCTCCCCCCACACATACAATGGAGCCAGTGCCCCCTGGCCTTTCTCTCCCTCCCCGCTTCCGGCTGGGTCTCAG